ACTTTTCTCACAAAACTGATATTTAAACAACGTTGGATATTAAAAAAAAAATAGCGACACAAATAAAAATAAAAACAAAATTATACGTTGAGATACACCGAATATCAAAAATTAAAAAAATGTAAATTTAAAGCTAAAAGCGTCACTGTATCTTTTAGACGTAAAACTGTGTGATCTCTTACTGGTGTTCATATTAAAAAAAAGAAAAAGAAATGATGATTTAAATTCTCCAAGGACTTCTGCTTTTAACTAGTAAACAGTATAAAGATTTTTAAGGATCAATAATGTTAAATTAAATAAGTGTGTAGTAACAGATGTAAAAAAATAAAAATTACCAAGATTTTCGAAAAAAACCCAAACAAACAAAACAAACAAACAAAACATTTCATTTATGAAATTTAAAATCTATACTAATCTTTGTCCACCGGACTGACCAAAAATGAGATTATTTTAACCAAGATTTTGACGATAAAACGTTTTTTAATAAATTTGGGGCCTTTTTCATCATGGTATACAAATTTTTTAGCAAATCAGTGGCAGCATCTACTAAAACTGGTTCCATCATTAGTTGGAATAAGTTCTTTCTAAGAATGAAAGACATTAGGAAGACATTTTATTATTTTGTTATTCGTTTATCCCCCCTTTCTCTCTCACACACGCATATACTCTCTCTCTCACACACACACATATATATATACACGCTTCTATATCTATTTGTCATGACATTGTCTATCTCTAAAGCCTAACGATTTTTTAGTTTTATCACAATTTTATTTGCTAGTATTTTCTCAAGAATATTCTTTCTCTCTCTTTCACACATGTGCAAGTATGTTTTCTGGCCATTCTTTTTGTAGACTTTCTATGTCAACGTCCGTATTAGGACTCATTTTTATTCTCAAAACTTACTTTACATTTTTCTCTACAATTTTTTGTCCCTAAAAATTTGTCAGCTGTTCTTGTATTTCTATTCTCAAATGTGTTCCGAACAGAAATCCTGCGTCTCCATTCTTGAAAAGCGTCCACCATAGAAAACGTTTTTTTTTTCTTCTTTTTTTTTGGGGGGGGGAAGTTTTTTTTTTTTTTACATAACTATTTTTTTTAGCTTTTCTTACTAAGAGTGCATTTATTACAGCTTATAGGACTCCCTCCTCATGACATGTCCTACAGAAAACAATCTTATCTTATTGCAGTTGAGAGCAATCATCTGAAGAAACACGTAGCCGAAAGAGTTGTCATTAGTTCAAAAATAAAATCGGCTTAGCGGGTTCAAATTCAGATCACAGCTATTAATTTGACTTTAATATTCTTGCCTTAAGAAAGGCATGAATCCAACACCATCCAGCCTCATGTCTCATCAATTTGCACACGAAAATAAACCAAAATTAGAAAATGATGTCTCCGCTGTGAGTGACAATTAAATTTTTCAATATTCGACTTAGAAATACAAATCCGAATCTGCATAAAGCTCCTACGAATCAGGAATGCCACATCGTCTATGTGACATAATCACTCCCCTTGTCGCTTTGGAGCAAGCCAGCGATAAAAATCAAACGATCTACTTATGGCAGCAGCAACAAGTAAACGGATTTAGTATGAAATTTTGGTAAACATGGACAATGTCTGTCTATATTTCTGAGATAGTATTGTAATTACGTACACGACATTGTTCAGACTATTGTCCCCATCTTTGTTGCCATATTCACGACGTTTAGGCCATTGTACGCTTCGGCCTTCTTCAGGTAATTGGAATTTCAAACTTAACCCTTTATTTCGTCCACAGGAGTAGATTGTTCTAGTTCCACATGTCATGCTTTTTCCGGATGTCTCAGTTATCTCCCTTTATCCCAGTAGATAAAAGCGTTGTTTGAATCCAGTGACTTGACCCAAAGAGTTGTGAGTCCAATACCTGGCTACTGCAGTGGTGAACAAGACTTGGAGAGTTGAGTTAGAGGAAGATAACTGAGACATCTGGAAGAAGCATGACACGTAGAACACTCTACCCCGGTGGACGAACTAAAGGGTTCAGTTCGAAATTCCAATCATCTAAAGAAGGCCAGAGCGTACAACGGCCAAAACGTCGTGAATTTGGCAACAAAGATTAGGACAACTGTCTGAACAATGTAAATAGTGTAAATAATGGGCAAACGAGCCCACAATTAGAAGGAATGTCAAAAAGGGTGTTTTTCCCATGACACCGCCTTTTTAAACTACCTTCATTCTTCGGCAATATTGTTTTTAAAAAGACACGATTAGAATTGTAACAAACCTAAACATGTGATGAAAGCGAATTTATACATTTTCTTTGTTCTTGAGAATTAACAACAAAAATAATAAACACTATTTATTGTTTATTTACACTATTGTTTATTGGAATGGTTGGCAACATGTTGTAAATTCTCAAGAACAAAAAAAAACATGTATAAATTCACTTTAGGTTTTATTCCAATTCTAATTATCGCTTTTTAAAACAATAAACATTGTAGAAGAGTGAAGGTAATTAAAAAAGCAGTATCAGGGGAAAAACCATCCTTTTTTACACTCCTTCTTATTGCGAGTACGTTTATTCATGTTTACCGAAATTTTTATCAACTTTTCCGACGAATTCTCCTTCCCACAAATTTCGAAAAATATTTTTTATCACAAACTTTACGGAATATAAACCATATACTTCAAATGGAAAGATTGTATTTATTTTATAAAATGTACATAAAAATCAATGCATATATCCAAGCAAAAAAAAAAAAAAAAAAAAAAAAACTTGTGTTAATAACGTAAATTGCACTACTGAATATTATAACTGATTGTTCAAAGTTTATTTCATTTGATAAATTCTACGTTGACAACACAACTAAAGCCTCAATTTGCTATATTCCTTTTTCACTGTAATGTAATACATGCACAAAGCCTCAACCCTGAAAAATAAATCTTGCGCAATAACAAGAATAACTATTCACTATCACAAACTATTGGCCAGTCAGGGATATTAATTTTTGATTAGATTTCAATTCATCCTTTTTCAATTTTTTTTTTTAAAAAAAGGATTTTTCGAATTTAGTCATTTGTTTTAATTTTCTTTACATTTTTTCTCTCTTTAAATCTTCCTTCCGTTTGCATAATCAGGAAGACATCTGAATCGAATCGGTTAAAATTTGTTTCATATGACATGAATTTTTAATATCCTTATCTTCTTGACGTTTGTTAAATACAGCTGTGGATTTGAACATTCTATTCCCCCCGCCATTTCCTTTATAAATCTTCGACTCAATTTATAATTGCTTGAATCACTCTTGTGGGGTTCAGCGTACTCGGATTAAAGGAGAATTTAATACGGGATACCCTGCCCACAAAATACAACGCAAATTTCAAGAAGAAACAACACGATAAGGAACGTTTATAAAAAATAGAACATTGTATATTTATTATCTTGTGAATAGGGTAAAAAAGATTACTGTTTTAGTTCGTTTAAGCAAAAATGTGATTTTGATAAAAATGTCTGTGTTCGCTGTCTTTTAACAGAGTAGCAGAATAATGTCTGTTTCTTTTGTTTTGTATAGTTGTAAAATGAAAAGGGGGCGAGCAATTTAAGTTAAAAAAAGAGTGTGAATGTGGAATAAAGATGAAAGGAAAATGTACTTATGAATTGTTTTGAAGCCAGTTGTAAATTTGTTGTTGTTGTTGTTGTTCCTTCCTACTCCACTTTTCGGGTTGAGTCAGTGATGAAATTTACTGTCAATCTTCTGTGATCTTTTGCGCCCTTCTCTGACTGTCTGACTGACTGGCGACTGACTTGAAAACTTTGTATTTATTGTTGACTTTTTTTTCACACTGGCTCGTTAACTTTTTTTTGGTTTAGCAAATCGCCTCCTTTCATTGGCCCGAAAATTAATTTCACACCTTATTGTGAAATCTGTTTTTGGTCGTTTTGATCCGATTTTGCGGGTGTGCAAATCTACTTTGTGTTTTTTTAGTCATTTGCTGGAATATAGGATTTGTATCCTATACTCTACATCTTCTAGTCTCACTTCTGTTTCACTCTTCACCATTGCTATCAGCAGATTACTGGTACTGAGATAATACTTGTCTTACTGTTTTCATTTACTTCATCTTTATAAAATGGATCAATTCACTGACAGTCATTTGCTAAATTAACCCACTAACTGATGAACTGTCATGAATGATTTTATCTATTCAGCTGAAGTAATCAAAATGTAGATGTGTGCGTAAAGTAGCGGTTATCGCTGCGAAAACTGGGATTGGCGAGACGAATCCGAATTCCAGCCGAAGTCGCTGCATTTTCTTTCACACCCATAGAATCTCGAGCAGACCGCGCTATCTAGCTTTGCTTGGGAACTAATCTAGAAGAGTTATGGATTAGCAACAAAATCTGTGGTTAGCGATAAGTCGTAACTTTGACTACGTACACTACTGAGTTCAGATGCAGTGGTTATAGTTTCATTTTATTACCCATTCAATGAATTTGCTGTATTATAACATACTTGATGAGCTTGAGTAAATGGATGGTAGAAGAGGATTTGAAAGAAATAACAAAAGGACAAAACTTATTAAGAGCTACAAGAGACAGGAAGATGTAGAGGGACATGATCGCCTACATCATAAAAAGACACGGTACATAAAAGAAGAACACATGCACAACCAAACTCTCAACTACCCAGAAAGAAAGAAAAAGAGCGAGAGTAATATTTATGATTATTGCTTGGTAGTGATATTTACGACAAATGTAAAACAAGTTAAAAAGTTAATCTTCCTATGATCTTAATTTGGTATTCATTTATTCTAAATGTCGCATGATGAAATATAAAAAAGAAGACACGGCTGACAAGTGACTATTTCTACTGAAGAGTTGGAATAATAATGGTATAAAAAAGTAGGTTGGTATAATTCGGTGATAGACTGATGTTGACACAGTAAACGACAAGTAAACGTTATCAAAATTGGAAGTGATTAACATCATAAAAGAGATAAACCATTTTGACCAAAAGATGTTACTTAATAATTACAGAAATAACGATGAAACCTTTTCTTTCTCTCTCACTCTCCCTTTCTTTCTTTCTTTCTTTCTTTCTTTCTTTCTTTCTTTCTTTCTTTCTCACTGTGCTAACATCTATCTATCTATCTATCTATCTCCATGTGTATATGTAGATTTGTCTCCTTTCAAGACGTAGACGATCATGGCTATCCAGAAAACCATTTTTTTTAAATCTTTGAATTGGCGTGAGTCCCTGGGTAATATAGTGGGGTCGGTTTTCGTTGCAATTCAGAGTCGCCCTTCTCTTAGACTGGCTACCATCCAAGGCTAGAGATTCATGTCTACCTTGTTATTTAACCCACAGCCTGTGGTGTTTGAAGAAATGTTTTTATTCCTTTCCCAAGGACATTTGTGTGAAGTGAACGCAACAACCTGGACCGGATTTCACTTTTCGCGCTGATAATTGTTTTATAACTTTCAAAGTGTACGTCTTTCTATGAAAGATTAAATGGCTCTTAAATCAAAAGGTAGATTTGTTCATATAATAAATTTCTTGAAGTGATTCACAATTATTTTGGCTTTGGGAATTACTGTTTCTTTTTTTTTTTTTTTTAATATCTGGCTCAATTTGAAGATCATCGAAGAACAAATGGGATTTTAAATCCTTGGCCAATCATGTACACTGTATCATGGGGAAGACCTGTATTCTAATAAGAAAAAACAATTATGCTTAAAAATAGCCTCTAAAATATCTTCGAATATGAGGAAAAACACTTTATGCACTAAAAGTTAAGGGAAAATCGATTTCTTTCCTATATTTGCTTCTTGTTACTATTTATTTATTTTCTTATTAGTTCTTATTTATAGATTTCACTGAGTACTCTACCCAGCCCAGAACCACAACCAAATTCACGAACCAACACTTTAATCCACTAGGCCATTGTCCCGTAGGACAATTTGCTGTAGTGAAGAGTCATAAACCTAACCTGCCTGCTGATTAATGCTACAACTGCTGCTGCTGCTACCTATCATATTTTGATTGCTGCTGCACCTGAGGAAGGCCGGCGGGCACAACAGCCGAAACGTTGTGATAACATCAACAAAGATGAGGTCAATAGTCCGAATATAAAGAGTATAAATAATAACTCCTCAAACTCAGAAATTCAGACAGAAAAAAAAATCGGATTTGTTACTTTTTACTTGTTACTTTTATTACTTTTTAACTATTTATCTCTTACCTACGAACAAACAATTGTTCAATCTGAGTATCATATACTACTAACAAATATTTTCATCAGTTTAAGTCGAAACACCAACCTTATATCAGCGTAATTTTATAAACTGAATGGAAAAGTAAAACTATAAACACATACAGTTTTATACACACATACAGTTTAATAATTGTTTATAAAGAAAATTAATGAACACTCAGGTCTCTATTTTCAAACTAACAGGCTTAGTAACCTAAATATAAAATTATTAACTTATATCATCAAAACTGACGGCATATTTTATTAAGTTCTTAATATTATTAGGTTTTCTTGCGTGAAACGTGAAATATATTTTTTCCGGTTATTATATTAATATTTCCTAATTCTTAGGAATCAGTTTATTACTTAATTAGCAACAGAAAATTGATATTCTATTTTTTTTTTCATATCATGTTGAGGAACAAACATACTAAATATATTTCAACCCCTCCCCCACCCCAAAACAAGCCCAGACACGAAATACTACGTGGAAACGCACGTGTTACATGAAAATGAAGAAACCCGTGACATTGCACAAAAAAAAAAAAAAAAAATTACAAATCTTTGATAATAGCTAAAGACAGCCCAAAGTACTCAGACATTGAACAATTTATGTACCTGAAAGCAAAAGCAGATCGGAAATGTAGAAAAAAATAAAAATAAAATGGACTCTCGTTAGTCATTAACCAAACTTTATATATATATATATATATATATATATATATATATATATATATATATATATATATTTAGTTTATGAAAACTAGGTAATCTGTATGGGTAAACCTAAGGAGGATAAAATCCAGAGAGCTCAATGTAAATTCAGAGCAAATAATTTAAATAAAAACAGACCACTTTAAGGTTCCATGTAATAACTTATTTCACCACAGCCCTTTTAATATATATATATATATATATATATATATATATATATATATATGCGAGGCTGAGAAGAGCTTGAGAACCCAAATTCCCTACTATTTGTACATTCGAATGAATACGACCTCTGCTACGCTTGGTCAACTTTCGTCAAAAGGAGCACAATATTCCATAGGGAACGAGAGGAACTAACTGACTAACTCTCTCTCTCTCTAAACACGCACATACACACATATAAATATATATATATATATATATATATATATATATATATATATAATGCTTGAAAAATATTACCCACGTGGAAGAAAGCTGCATTAACCCCAGTACCATCCCAAATTTCAAGTCTGTAACATACATGAAAAATTTAAAAAAACTCGGAATTAAATAATTTCACATACTAGTCATGTTTGCAGCAAAATATTTGCTTTGTCATTGGCATAAATGTCATCAATGTATCAGTGATAGTCAACCCGGATCTTTTTCTTGTTTTCATGAGGTCTTATTTGGTAAGTTATTTTTTGTACTTGTTTACATAACTTAGAACTTACTGTATTGTAAGTATTCAATCATTGGTGAGACCGACAGCAACAACAGTTTTCAAAGGACATATCATCTATATATATATATATATATATATATATATATATATATATATATATATATATATGTGTGTGTGTGTGTGTGTAGAGAGAGAGAGAAAAAGAGGGAGTAGAGGGAGAAATGGCGTCTGTAGCTGAAGGTGCAATTTTAATTTAGGATGAGTGTGTGCTAAGGCTAATTTGAAATTTACAATCATGAATACATAATGGATGGATACTCGTTTCCGAGTATGCCCGTTTGTTGAGGGGGCAACTAATTTCATTTGTAGACGCCTTCTCAGGCACATATACTTTTACATTGAGCGTGTTTTAGTTACAGTTTCTGGGAGTGAATGCATAATATAGTGGAATTAGTAGTTGAACGAGGCCAGTACTTTTAAACCCTCGGTCGCAATAACTAGTAACTTGATGTAGACGGCTTCCAAATGGTTTCGACTAACCAATTTCATTCAGTAGGCTTCGATTAACCTGTGGCAAGGTTTTCAGTCACTTTCCAGCGATGTCGCACAATGACTCGACCACTTCATGCGTGCATACCTATATACATACATACAGAAAAAACATGTGAATGTAAGTGCAGCAACAAAGATACTTACTTGTTCTCTTTTCCACACACCAACGTACAGAGATATATGTGTACGTATATATATATATATATATATATATATATATATATAATTGTGTATTTAGGTAGCAATCCATCTTTTATATATGTTTCGTTAAAGATGACTGACAAGGTACTGCGATTAAGCTTTTTATTTAATTTTTCTTGTGTTTGTACAAGTGTTTTGTTTTCTGGGTACAAAGTGTTTAAAACTGTCCAAATGTTCTGTATTTCCGAGAACTTTCGGCTATACTTTTACCCATTATCAAGGATGATTTTATTTTTACTTTTTAACTGACAGTATGGGTTCTGTGTATGTATTTATTTTCCAAATACGGTCAGCCCTTTGTGGCAGTGTTTGTAGTTAATGTTATTGAGTGTTGGCTTTTTCTTTTTATTATTAGCACTTCCATTATTTTTCATCTTTTTTTTTTACATATGGATGAGGTTATTATGCTTGTATTTTCTACTAGTATATTTTGGATAGATTTTGTTAGGTTTGTATGTTTTCAAATGCCCTGACCAAACCAAACTTATAAATAATTTCATTGGTCACACTCCTACATGCCTATCTAGATGACTTACGTTACACCTATCCAACAACAGCTCAATTAGAACTCATTTAAATACATACACAAACCTAACAGACTCCATTGATGAAAAACTGTATTATACTACAATAAAAAGTCGTGAGTAAAACGTCGCCAAAATGAGAATTTTGACGTTTCAATGGGAATCTATGACGGTAGATTAAATTATCTGAATTTATATAATAAATACACTAGCTCCAGTAATTAATAAAAATGACATAAGTTTATATACAGATATTGGCCTATTAACATTTTAAAGGCACAGTAATAGACATTACTAGAAAAGAGATAATAAAATAATCTAAAAACTTAGAATTGAGAGTTGCGATAAAAACCAGCTGAAAAACGATAAATTTCTTAGATAACTTTTGTATATAACCCACACAACAAATAAGATTACGCATCCATCTATATTAATAAATATTCCAGCTGTTTACAAATACCTATATCTGTGAGAAAGAGGCTTTCAACAAATTCCACTAATATCAAAATATTTAATGAAAAGTAAACGAAGAATATGAATTAGCCTTAAAAAAGCGAGTATAATAATTAATTTGAATATAAAAATAGAAAACAATATAAATAACAGGTCGATTTATAATTTGGTTTCCCACCTTGAAATAAAAACAAAAATAGGAAAAATATAAAGTTAAACAGTTCTCTAAAAATAGTTAATTGTTAATAGAAATAACACAAAGTTACAGTTGCATGAAAAATATGAAAAAATGAATAAACATAACAAAAATAGTTAACAAAGAAATATTAATTCCAATAGCAGTCGTACCAGTAATAATAATAACCATAATCATAATAGTAATCTTATTTAATGCAATTGCGTTTAGATTAAATTAATTTGAATAAAAAAAATTGCATCTACAGTTTTCCCTGATCTTGATAATAGCCAACAGTATAACCGAAAGCGCTAGTCACAAATGTTTGTACAATATTAACATTTCTGAGAACCAGACATGCGTCCATTTGTACATAAATAAGAAAAGCTAACCTAAAATTCCTTGTTCATAGATTTCAAAGTTTATATATATATATATATATATATATATATATATATATTCCTAAATTTTCGCTTGAGGATGAAACAGGGCTTGATACCTTAATTCAATTTAATTTTAATAATTATATTGAGGGTTTCGGCTCTCGTTTTTGAAACATGAGAACTCTTATGTAGCGAAGGAATCATTTTTTAAAAAATAATTATATATACAGTGCTGTTCGATAAA